TTTGCTAAGTTTAAATTAATGCATTCCATATCTGTTGCACAATTGATCTACCTTTGCAAAGCACTACGATGAAAATATGACTGTATGACACCAACCTTGATATTTCTGTATGTTTCATTCAAAACCATTTTATTAAATTCTGGATTTTTAAGAGTGTCAAGGAAATTTGAATAAAGACTATGGAAGTTTGGCTCAATGCTAACTCTCTTCATCACAAGATACTGTGAAACCCAAGGCATGAATTCTTCTTTCACAGTTTCCTTCAGTTCCTCAACCTGGCTCCATAAACAAGAAACAGAAAGGGATTAATGAAGTAATAGAACTGGAAATGATTCTGCAATTCATACAGATGAGGAATTATAAAGATCTGAAATAAAACAATAACTTCTGAAAATTGTAAGTTGCCAGAATGTGTATTCTGTTTTCAATAAATTGCTCAAATATAAATTATACTGAGATATTTCAATGTTGAAACTTTTCTTTTGATATTAACATTTGCAGCACCTCATTCTGCCCCAAAAGCACCTTAGTTCAATTGTGTTACTAAACATATTTGCTTATGCACTTTGACAGAATGCACATTTACAAAACAGAAACTTTAAAAACTCATCAATTGCAAATAAAATGGTTCTACAGGAAGCTGGCCTAAGATAACCTTTAAAGTCTTAAAATATATGGATATGTGGAAAAATAACGTGCAATGTTGAAGATGTTCCAGATTTACATTTCAAAGACTGCTACATCAACATGATCATATTTAAACATTCCCGGGAATAAACAGAAGAGTGGTGGGAAAAGGAAGCTTTCACATATGCAAAAATATCGGGTTAGTCACTCCTTTCTTTGTATGTGACTATAACACAGAAAGTCCCTCTCCTCTCTCCTCCAAATCAGAGTTAAATTTGTGCAATATTTACCTTCTGAGTCATGTTGGATTGAGACAAATTATTAAAGATAAAAGCAATCTTTTCCTGAACATTTTCAGGTGGTTCTACAATCCTCTCTGTTTGATCTGTGGCCACTAGCAGAGTATCAATGTTTGTTGTATTAATAGAAGGCTGCAAAAGACAAACCACATTGAGAGTATGAGTTAACTTAGGTAAGACTGCAATAGATCGCAGGCATTCTTAGATAATAGGGTCCCAAAAATGGTACGATCCAGAGAAGCCTTGATGCCACACTCTACTATGGAGAACAGAAGCCAGAATCCTTCCTTGGAGAGCCAACAACAAATGAAATTTGTTAGATTCATGCAATGAAGCTGTCCAAGGGAAGCCTTTCCACATCTCAATGAACGCATGCATCAAGAACTCCAGTCAGATCCTCCTTGGCTTAACTGCTGTTATCTCTGGTTGTGCACAAAGACATGGAATGAGCTGATCATGGGAATCAGTTCTCCTTCTCATGTCCAGATTCCCTGGGAGGGGGAGGAGGAGGAGGACAATGACAGATTGACACTTTCACCTGAAGAATTTCCACCCTTGTTTTAAAGCAAGACTGATAAAATATTTGAAGAGCTGCAAAGCAAAAAGGCAGGCAGAGAGCAGAATGTAGGCAATAATTGGTATATGTAATACAATTCAGAGTTAATTATATATAGGGAGTCCTCAACTTATGACCACAATTGAGACCAGTTTCTGCTGAGCTGCAAAGCAGCTGTTAAGTGAATCACACCTGATTTTATGACCTGTTTTCCCTTGATTGTTAAGCAAATGACTGCAGTTGTTAAGTGAATCACTAAGATCATCAAACTTCCCCCACTGACTTTATCTGTCAGAAGCCGGCTGGAAAAGTTGCAAAATGAACTCACATGATCCTGGGACACTGCAACCATTGT